GTTTCTCAGGTTGTTCAAATTCCAATTATTCATGCTGAAAAACTGTTTGCTTGAAAGCTATTACTTTAGAAATATCAAATAGCAATTATCTTTACTTTGGTTAACATTGTTTTATCTGATAGCATGTTGTTTAAACTATATAATACGAAAAATTTCACTTCCATGCCTTGATTTTTGATATGTATTAAGGAAGAATTAAGGCATAACGTTCTGAGAGTTTCTTATCAGATTTTATATTGATTAACTTGACGATAAGATCTACTCTAATATAATTATATCTATACTCAGACTAGAAGGACCGCCACTGCGTGTTATTTCTGGACTGGTTATTTGGCTAAAATTAGCAACAATTTGTTGTTTGATTTATGTTTCAGAATTACAAAACCATTACGAATATTTATTGCTTTCTTTATGTACCGAAATTAAATACGATTAACTAAAGTAAATAATTGATTGTGTGGCATTTGGTTATGTATAGCTTTAGTCCGTGGAAAGACCATACTTATTCCTAGAAAACATGCTATTTACGATCTAACGTTTTGATTTCATTGGTATTAATGCGTCGGCATGACTCATAAGATATGATTACTACTTTATTTTAAAAAATGGGAGACTTATGGAAATCATAATAATGTAGCGGATTGCTACGCTAGTAAAGCCTGACTGGCTCAGAAATCTCTATGGCAGATTCTCCAACATCTAGCTAGACTCCCAGAATAAGCTAAGCTATAGCCCAGCTATAAGGAAAACAGACGTGTAGCACGTAATACATTTATTCAGTACGTATATTGATAGCGAAGTGTAATGTTGGCAAAGCGATTAGTTATCAGATAACTCTAGCATAATTCGTGTGAACATTAATAGCTAAAATATTTCTGAGTAGGGTTCTATAGCAGGATTTCTATTTGGTCATTGATGATGTGTCCCACAATACTCCTCCTCTAGAGCGTTTGTAGGAACTTTTCGGTCGTAGGGAGTGTAATAGGGTTTTGGGTAGAGGTGGGATAGGTGTTGGAACTGCTGAGACCGGATTGTTAGAGTTGGAGGCAGTTGGATTGGGGACTTCGTGCATGCTTGTGGACCTTGCCGGCTGAGCGAGTGAAGCAGTATTTGGTCCATTGACGAGAGTCCTGTTGGTTATTTCTCCATATGCAATGATCGGCGTTAAACGTTCTTGTTGAACGGATGTTTGGTTGCGCCAATCCATGGTCCAAATCTTCCGGCGTGTGCTTGCCCGACGATTGGTCTTGGCTTGCCGGTTGAAATGCAGTTGTGAGTTGGAGTTTCGGGGACTTGTAAGGGTAGGCTTTCGAGGAGCAACGTACTCCGTCTGTTGACTGTTTCCAAGGGCGTTCTGTGGGAGTCATAGCCAGTGAAAGGAGAGAGTTAGGGTGCCGTTGAGGTGCTGATCGTTTGTGGGAAGGAACCATCGGATGAGGAGAGCGATGTGAAGAACAATCGCGTCGCCGATGAGAGATTGAGGCTCTGTTGAGCGGAAGTCATGATCTGACTTGTCGTGACAAACGGCAGCGGACGTAAGGTGATGATCATTCGAGCGAAAGAGATCACCGAGGGAATTGAGGGACGAGGAAAGAAAATCCCGATGCCAGTGAGAGACTGGTTCTCTGCTGAGCGATTAAAGTCAGGCTTTGGCAATCACGTCAGGGTCACCAATTTGTAGCGGATTGCTACGCTAGTAAAGCCTGACTGACTCAGAAATCTCTATGGCAGATTCCCTAAGTAAAGCCTGACTGACTTAGAAATCTCTATGGCAGATTCTCCTGACTCAGAAATCTCTTTGGCAGATTCTCCTACATCTAGACCGACTCAGAAATCTCCATGGCAGATTCTCAAACATCTAGCTACCGGCTCAGAAATTTCTATGGCAGATTCTCCAACATCTAGCTAGGAATCAGAAATCTCTATGGCAGATTCTCCAACCTCTAGCTAGAGAACAGCTAAGCTATAGCTCAGCTATAAAGAAAACAGACGTGTAGCACGGAGCGCGTTTATATCTGTGGCAGATTCTCCTACATCTAGCTAGACTCCCAGAATAGCTAAGCTATAGCCCACATATAAAGGAAACAGATGTTTAGCACGGAGCACGTTTATTCTACAGAGGATACAGACGTGTAGCACGGAACATTTATTCAGTAGAAACGAAACAGACGTGTTGCACGGAGCACGTTTATTCAGGACGTATCTTGCGGATCAAGTTTCCATTCCGTTCTTCATCTGGTCTCAATTTAAACGATACCTTAATGGATAAACCTTTGGAAATGGTTGGGTCTCCCGAATTTCCGCAAAAAACGAGACTAGAGTTGACACTACTCGAAGCCAATGAACCAGCCAAGTCGAGAGGTGCCCGCCCCTCTCTTACTCCACTAGCCCTAGAAACCACAATGTCTTGGAAAGATGGAAGCCTTTGGCTCTCAACTGATCCTGACGACTTAGAGGCCGCTACCGAAAAAACTTTCGGGGGAAATTTGGTTACCGGAGATCGGACACTCATACCCGAACAATTTAAAGCTACACTTGACCTCCTTGTGGGAAATGGTTCGGAGTTTGACGTCAATCGTACCTCGTGCGATTTAGCCGTACCAAAGCATTCTGAGCCTTTAGAAAGGACTTGTGCAATTGACCCCTCGATGGTGAATCAGTCGCAATGGTTGTCCCCTCCAGAAGAAGGCATGGAATACGACATGGATGCTCTCAGTAAGGCTTTGCACCATATGCTCCTGGGATGGACTGAACCCTCCGATCCTATCTTCTTTCCTCTGCCCAAGGTAGCATACCAACGCCGTTGCACAGAAGAAGGCGATAAAGGTGTGCGTCGAGGAACCCGAATCCGTGTTCATACACCTATCGATTCCTGGGATAGGTTGTACAGGGAGGTGCGTGTTAATCCTGTCACAGGTAAGAAAGAAGAGTTACCTCTTGGGTACTCGAGGTACCCCAAACCGGAGGAATTTCGCAGTCAGGCTTTGACAATCACGTCAGGGTCACCAATTTGTAGCGGATTGCTACGGTAGTAAAGCCTGATCGGCTATGAAATCTCTATGGCAGATTCTCCAACATCTAGCTAGACTCCCAGAATAAGCTAAGCTATAGCCCAGCTATAAGGAAAACAGACGTGTAGCACGTAATACATTTATTCAGTACGTATATTGATAGCGAAGTGTAATGTTGGCAAAGCGATTAGTTATCAGATAACTCTAGCATAATTCGTGTGAACATTAATAGCTAAAATATTTCTGAGTAGGGTTCTATAGCAGGATTTCTATTTGGCCATTGGTGATGTGTCCCACAATAACTGCTTAATCTTCAAATTGATATGTTCGAAACTCAATTAATGCCCCCCCCCCCAAAGATTTATTAACCAAATTACTAGTTTCTGCCAAAATTTGCCGTTAGTCAAAGCTACTTTGGAAAAATAATTAAATTGGTTTTTAAGCATTTAATAAATACCATTTAACATTGGAAAAACTAATATAAAACTTTCGAAATACACATGGGAAATTCCAGAATGACGTAGTCTACTTATTGGCTAAATTAATGAACACATCAAACTCGCAAAGGAACAAATTACACCCCAGCACCCTCAGTTCACAGAGGACGGATAGATTCGATTCCTCAAGGTAACTTGGGATCAAACGATTCTTCAATGAGAAGCAGTTTAATTCCTTCCAACACATTGGGAGTCTCAAAACTTGGCAGAATAAGATCCACGGCACCGGTAAAGTCACGGTGGCAATGGAGCTGTTTGGAGCGTTTTGACTTTCGGTCTAATGGCTTGTAGACACCCGTTTGCACCAGAATTGCTGAAATTTCAATAAATAAGCACGATGAAAACTATTAATTTAGTTTAAAATCGTTTATGCAAATATAGGTATTACTGATATTGATATGATGAAAGTTTCCACCGATTGGTTAGATAAAATTGATAAAAAGGTGATGAGTAAATTACTGGAAGTAACTGTTACAGCTTTTTGATGAAATTTTCTGTTATATGACTACTGAGCCGATTGAGAATTTGTCCCCATTGTCAACTCAGCAATTAAAAGTCTTTTAATTCTAATAATGCCCTATCCGAATTCTTTGTGTAATAATCAAAATAGTTATATAATGCGAAAATTAGCGTAAAGAGCTGTTTTATGCTAAACAATT